GAGTGGTCAGTGGTGGTCAGTGGTGGCCGGAGAGTGGCTGGAGAGTGGCCGGAGGTCACCAAGGTTCTCCTGCCATTGGTCAGTGTGAGGAGTGATCAGTGGTAGCCAGAGAGTGGCCGGAGAGTGGCCGGAGGTCACTGAGGTCATCTGGGTGTTGGTCAATGTGAGGAGTGGTCAGTGATGGCCTGATAGTGGCCGGAGAGTGGCCAGAGGTCACTGAGGTCATGCTGGTGTTGGTCAGTGTGAGGAATGGTCAGTGGTGGCCAGAGAGTGGCTGGAGAGTGGCCAGAGGTCACTGAGGTCATCCGGGTGTTGGTCAATGTGAGGAGTGGTCAGTGGTGGTCAGTGGTGGCCGGAGAGTGGCCGGAGAGTGGCCGGAGGTCACTGAAGTCATCGGGGTGTTGGTCAGTGTGAGGAGTGGTCAGTGGTGGCCTGAGGTCATCAATGACCTCCAACCATTGGTCAATGTGAGGAGTGGTCAGTCGTGGCCGGAGAGTGGCCAGAGAGTGGCCAGAGAGTGGCCAGAGGTCACTGAGGTCATCCAGGTGTTGGTCAGTGGTGACCAAAGGTGGCCGGAGGTCACTATGGTCATCTGGGTGTTGGTCAGTGTGAGGAGTGGTCAGTGGTGGCCTGAAGTCACTGAGGTCATGCGGGTGTTGGTCAATATGAGGAGTGGTCAGTGGTGGCCGGAGAGTGGCCGGAGAGTGGCCGGAGAGTGGCTGGAGAGTCGCCGGAGGTCACTGAGGTCATCCGGGTGTTGGTCAATGCAAGGAGTGGTCAGTGATGGTGTGAGGTCATCAATGACCTCCAACCATTGGTCAGTGTGAGGAGTGGTCAGTGGTGACCAGGGGTGGCCGGAGAGTGGCCAGAGGTCACTGAGGTCATCCAGGTGTTGGTCAGTGGTGACCAAAGGTGGCCAGAGGTCACTGAGGTCATCTGGGTGTTGGTCAATGCAAGGAGTGGTCAGTGATGGTGTGAGGTCATCAATGACCTCCAACCATTGGTCAGTGGGAGGAGTGGTCAGTGGTGACCAGGGGTGGCCGGAGAGTGGCCAGAGGTCACTGAGGTCATCCAGGTGTTGGTCAATGCAAGGAGTGGACAATGTCCTCACCCTTTTGGGTCAATCTTCCCCATTTTTTGGGTCAATTTTCCCCATTTTCAATTCCATTTTCCCATTTTTTGCTACAATTTTTCAATTTTCACCACAATTCCCAATTTTTTGTCAATTATCCCATTTTCGGTTCCATTTCCCCATTTTTGCTCCCATTTTCCCATTTTTGTGCCAATTCCTCCCAATTTTGGGTCAATTTTCCTCATTTTCAGTTTCATTTTACCATTTTTTCCTACAATTTTTCCATTTTTGCCTCAATTACCCTATTTTCACCAAAATTCCCCATTTTTCTGTCAATTTTCCCATTTCCCCCCAATTCCCCCCATTTTTAGGTCAATTTTACACCATTTTTGCCTCAATTCCTCCCATTTTTAGGTCAACTTCCCCCATTTTTGGGTCATTTCCCTCCATTTTTGGGTAAATTCCCCATTTTTTATGCAAATTTCCCATTTTTTGGTCAATTCTGCCCATTTTTTGTCCCATTTTATCATTTTTTTGGTCAATTTTCCCATTTTTCGGCTCAATTCCTCCCCTTTTTGGGTGAATTTTCCCCATTTTTGGGTCAATTTTCTCCATTTTTGGTTCAATTTTACCATTTTTTTATCAATTTTCCCATTTTCCCATTTTCCCCCACCTTTTTTGATGATGTCCAGCGCTTTGGCCCGGCGCTCCAGGCCGAAGCTCTCCCACTGTCCGGTGCTGTCCAGGGAGTGGACGGCGATGACCGTCGGGGTCAATTTTACCCATTTTCACTTCTATTTTCCCATTTTCGCCTCAATTTCCCCCATTTTCACCCAAATTCCCTATTTCTGTGTCAATTTTCCCATTTTTGCCTGAATTTCTTCCATTCTCCCCATTTTTTGGGTTAATTTTCCCCATTTTTGGTCCATTTGACAGTTTTCAGTGCCATTTGGCCATTTTTTGAGTCATTTTCCTCATTTTTGGGTCAATTTTTCCATTTTTTGTTCCATTCTCCCCATTTTCAGGTAAATTCTCCATTTTTGCCTCAATTCCCCCCATTTTTAGGTCAACTTCCCCCATTTTTGGGTCATTTTCCCCCATTTTTGGGTAAATTCCCCATTTTTGGGGCAAATTTCCCATTCTTCTCCCAATTTTCCTTTTTTGCCTCAATTCTCCCCATTTTTGTGCCAATTCCCCATTTTCGCCTCAATTCCTCCCATTTATGGGTCATTTTCCCCATTTTTGGGTCATTTTCCCCCATTTTTGGGTCATTTTCCCCCATTTTTAGGTAAATTCCCCATTTTTGATGCAAATTTCCCATTTTTTTGGTCAATTCCCCCATTTTTTGTCACATTTTATCATTTTTTTGGTCAATTTTCCCACTTTTCGGCTCAATTCCTCCCATTTTTGAGTCAATTTTCCCATTTTCATGTCAATTCTCCACTTTTCCTACAATTTTCCCATTTTTGCTCCAATTTCCCCTATTTTTGGTTCCATTCTCTCCATTTTTAGGTAAATTCTCCATTTTTGCTTCAATTCCCCTCATTTTTAGGTCCATTCCACCCATTTTTAGGTCATTTTCCCCCATTTTTGGGTCATTTTCCCCCATTTTTAGGTAAATTCCCCATTTTTGGTGCAAATTTTCCATTCTTCTCCCAATTTTCCCATTTTCGCCTCAATTCCCCCCATTTTTGTGCAAATTCCTCCCATTTTTGTGCCAATTCCCCATTTT